ATATGATGATCATAATCATAGAAGGGTTTTGTAGATATTATAAATAATATTTTGATAGAATTCCTAGTTTTCTATTGGGTCTATGATGAATTAATTCGATTACATATTTTCGTTGGAACAAATGTAAACATTTTATTATTTGACAATTATTTTATTACTGACATTTATAAGTAAATCCCATAAAATCTGAATATAATCAAATTTCCATGACAACTATGCCTCTTTATATGCTAATGAACGTTATCTTGTAAAAATCAATAGGAAAAATTCGTTTTTTTTTTAAAAAAAATTGATTCTGTTAATCCAAAATAAACAAAACAAGAATATTTAGGTCAACGATTATTTTCAGTTACTTTATCATCTAGCTATACAGTTATTGAATTCATAATTATGGTAAAATTTAACTATAATTAAGAAACAATTACTTTCACAAAAACGATTTTGAAGCTATGAGGTAAAAATTAAAATAAGACATTGTCTATCGTCGTATCATGATTAATTTCAAAGAAGAAACAGTAATAAATTTGTTATAAGTTGTTGGATTCTTAAAGAAATCGGTCAGCTTTATTTGTGAATGTTAAATGGCAGTGAGAGAACCTAATGAAATATGACATGAAATGACCTTTGAACATCATTCGCATTAGCACAAGAAAGCAGTTAGGATATATATATATATATATATATATATATATATATATATATATATATATATATATCCTAATTTAAAAGTTTCGATTCAGACAAACAGTTCTTCTCTTAATGTAGTGGGTAGAAGAAAAAAGAACAATCTTTGTACCAGTTTTTTTACAGTATAAATGTTTGTGTACCATTAATTAGTTTCCTCAATAATCATAATGGCACACACTGAAATTGTGGAGGGTATTTGGTGTAGTTTAGAAAGCTTTTTATGACTAAAAAAAGGGATCCTAAATAAAAATGCTTTAAATTCATAAAGGTTAAATAAACGAAGTTATTGAAAAATTCTTTTAAAAACAAGGAAAGTTTAATAATCGTCTGATTGTTAATGGCTTAAGTATTCATCAATGATAGATAAGGAAGTTATCATTGGGAGAGGATGGCTCAGCATGACTAGATAAAAAAGAGAATTTCCGATTCTTTAAAAAGAACATTCCCCGCAACAATATTGCGAATAGTATACTCCAGCCGATCATTGTTCGCTAATAATCTTAAAGATAAATTATCGCATCTGACTAACTCAATGTGCATTTATCAATTTACCTGCTCATGTGGGGATAGGTATATAAGTCGTTCGATGCGTACTTTATCAAAACGAATTTAAGAACATTGTCCGGCATGGCTAAAAAGAAGAGGAATCGGCTCAATAAGAAGCTCAGTAATAGAACACCTTGTGAACACATACATCTGGAAAGACCAGAATTGTGTGTGCAAAAGAGACTGGTACAACCTCTTCTTCTACCTTGGTCCTGATGTCATATAATTTGTTATTTTTTTATTTTAATTTTTCTCTTCTTCATACTCTTCATACTGTTTCACCCTCCATCTTCCCTTACATTTTCTACCCCCAACTAGTTCATTTTATTTCCACAATCATTCTGATTACATTTAATCTCAATTTCAACACTTATCTTATCATGCTGAGCTATCCCTTCCCAATTAATTATAGATTTCCGGACTACTCTTCCTAACTATGACGATACATTTTTACGAGTGCTCAAGTATAAAGCCTTCCAAGTACAGCCCACGTAACCAGTTTCAGAGAAGCAGTCAAAATGATATAAACACATTGAGAGTCTGTCTATCGGTATCTTAACCTTTGTTCGGCTTGTAATTAATGGATTTGTCGAGATAACATGCATTTTAATAGTATTATTTGTATTTTCAACAGACTTCTTGCGCTGACGTGTTAGAGTGTTTTTAACTATTTCGTCTTCAAAAATTGACTCTAAGTTAGGCTTTTATCTCACTTTGACTGTCTTTATCTTATTTTTGCGTTGATAGATATACTTTTTAATGAGATTGAAAGAATACCCGTTATAAATAAGGTTTCCTTTCTTTTCCTACAATATCCTAGTCATACGGCCCTATGGATAAGAAAGTTAATCAAATTTGAAAAAAGAAACAGTGGCTTATTCATGAATTCCTTTCAGATTTATTCCATTTTTACAGATTTATCCATTCTTTTGAAAAGGAGGACATCAAGAGAATTTATATTATTTTTGTTTTTCTTTTCGTGAGTGAACATGATAACAAAATGAGAGTTATAGGAAGTCTGCAGAAACTTTTATGAATCGACACTGTGGTCAAACATAATAAATGAATCGACTGAATAAAGATAGTGATATTCAAGCTCATCCAGTATTTTTGCACTGGTTATATTTCCTAATTTTTATAAAAAGATTTCAGCTAATTTCAAATCAAGAGATTTCATTGAAACTATATATATTTGTCTATAAAATTCACTTTACGTTGGCTTGTCATATCCCTCATCTTACCTACTAATGTTGGTTATATAAGTAATATTTTCCAGTAGTTGTTTTTATGTTTAGTCGATGGTTTTTATTGATAATAAAGTCTGTTTAGAGTCAATTTAGGTTTATCAGTTACATTCATATTCTTATCTATAAATTAAAATATATTCTTTACTATTTATTTAATCACATAAACATTGATACAAGGAGGCATCAAATAGATATGCACCACATAAATCACTCTATTTGTGTGAAGGCTGGGATACTGCCCGGGTGCCCAAACCAAATCAGGTTGTTTCTTAGAGGGCCACACCCGGAGCCCTCGACCTAAAGGCCTGATCCATAAGGCAGTGAAGCAACGTTGAAGATGCGGTCCCAGTGACCAACGGTTGGTTCATACAGCATTTGTTCCCTCAGGATACTGAAGCCGATGTGCACCATTGGTTTGGAATCAGGATTTTCCAACTCCCCTAGGTAAATCCCCCATATCCACCAACTCGGTTAAAGCGCCGAACACTCGCTTTCCGTCCTCTCAATTTAGTAAACAACACCCCCACCACGAGAAGGCAGTGAGTAGGACTTCCCTGGCAGTGGTTGTATGCACGTGGCCATGTGAGAGCATCTCGAGAGGGAGAGTTGACTCTCCCCACTCTTGGCCCGTGCCAGGGCATTTGGAGGCCACCCCGTTGTAATCGGTGGCTTTATATTATAATTCCTTCTCTATCGAAAAAATTGCATAAATTTCTTCACATTACTCCTCTCAATAGCTAATACTTTTTTATGATTACCCACCTTTGTACAAAATGCACATACTCTGTATATATACATATTTAATTATCACGTTTCTGTCCTCTTTTGTATATGGAAAAATGAAGTGTCATGAATTATTTCTGTCTTTATTTTTATGTCTAATATATCTAAACACATTATGAATTTATTAGTTGAGTTCATGAGTCAATTGAAGCTAGATCACCATGGAAAACCTATAAGCAATGGACGCCTGTTTCGTCCTAATGTGGGACTACTCAAAAGTGCGCATCCACGATATAGCCTTGATGGATTCGAACCCAGGACCTACTGGTCTTGCGTGCGAACTCTGGGCCACTGAGCTAGCCAACATCCAACGGTGTTAATGTCTAACTCCAACTAATCCACGAAATTGCGCCACCGTCCACCATTGTCTTCAGTGAGTTACTATACCACAACAAACCCGGTTGAACTCCACTGGTCACTTCTTCTCGATAGAACTCCAGGAAATACCTCTTCAATTATTATTATGAATTGCTATTATACCTAAATAAACCTTACTTTAACATTTCTACAGTCATATTTATAAAATGGAATTAATCAATCTGAACATATATTTCTGTATACTTTTGAGTGTCTTTTTGTTCAGTATTCAATATTCAGCTGTTGTTACCTTAGGGTGAAATTTTTTTGATTTTCAATCGAAAAGTGACATGTTATTATACTACTTATAATAGATCTTTATCAAGGTCAGACAATTTTGTAATAATATGTCATTTTATCCTAAGGGTAAATTGGATATTAATTAGACTATACTTTTTAAATATTGAATAGAAGTAAAATATGAAATTAGTAATTAGATTTATCATAAGGAGGAAGTTATAAACAATCGTGTTAATAAGTAGTCTATACCTTTTATAGAAACAACTAAGTGAAGATCTACCAGAATGCATTATTATTCATTTGAGCAAGCACACGATTTGTAAATACTATAACTCAGTAAATAAAATGAATCAGTTTACTTTGCATGTTTAATATGTCTTTTTCTTAACACACTTTTTAATCTCACAGATTAAAATCATGAGTCAATTGAAGCTAGACCACCATGGAAAACCTGGAAGCACTGTACGGTCGTTTCGTCCTAGTATGGGACTCCTCAGCAGTGCGCATCCACGATCCCGCACCCAGCGAGATTCGAACCCAGGACCTATGGTGGTCTAGCTTCAATTGACTCATGATTTCAATCTGTGAAATTTCTAAAATCTCGACACCTTTTAATCATTAAAAGAGGAAGAATATATTTGTAAAATCTCGGAGAAAGAATCATACTAAATACAGTATTAACGTACTTTAATTATACTTTCATCACTTGCCTAAGTTCTATTTCAACATTCTGATTTTATACATAAATAGTTAATCAAATTACAGACTTGGTGTTTTTTTTCAGGAATGTCTATTATATTAATTTTGGTATATAATATGAACTTTAAGTGATCATAGAAGCTATTGACCTGGTCTTGTATGACATTATGTGTAAAATAAGTTTGTAGATGATGTGATAACATATAACCTAAACCCATATTTTATAAATTTTATTGTTGAGAAAGTAGGTTGTAATAACTGTTTTCCCCAGTACTATCAATCATCCGGTGTAGCAGTAGATGAAACGAAATATGAATGTTCTGTTATTCGCTCATTTGTTATCTTGCTCGTACCAGTAAGAACATATAAGTCAAAGCCCTGAACTTTTCTATTTATTGTTTTTTTTATAGGCAAAACGTCTAATTTATTAAACTAAAACAAATGGAACAAGAAACAAAATGTAAGCCTAATCATAATCATGGCGATATGGTTGAATCAACTGCAGATGATTCCATGACATCGTCTCATTATTGTTTTGGTTTAAAAATGAAATCACATGAGATTCATGAAGGAAAAAGTAAGTCATTATGTAGAAATCCAGTTGGTTCATCAACATCAATATCTATGCCAATTGCATGGCCTAAAAGAGTTGGATCAAGGAAAAAAATCAAATACAAGCACAGAATTCGAAGAAAAATCCGAATGTGGAATTAAAAAACAATCACTAACGGATATAGCCAATAACGATAAATACATAAAAGAAACAGATACACAAAAACAACGCTTTTGGGTAAGTATATTGATTTTCGCATAGATTACATAAACAGATTTTAACTATTCAAACGGTGAATTTAAAGAGTAAACAGTTTATGTTCATTTCAAAGTACTATAAATTTCTAATAATAAAGTTATTTAAAGTTATAAACTTACAGACACGGTTAAATGTTGTGCGTTTCGACCCTGACAGAATCATGAAAAGATTCATCAAAAAACTTAACAACTGCCGAATGTTCCTTAGTTTTCAATGAATATTTTATAGTAAAGGCAAACAAGAAATATTTGGTGTTAATTTCATTTTGAAACATAAGCCTTAATACCAGAATGTTGTAATACTATTTCTAGTTATTATTACTCCTACAATAAATGAAGAGTTTGGATGTCAAAAAACTGTGTTTATTGAGTCGAAATCTGGCGTTTGTATTTGGAAGATTTAATGTGACTTTTACTTTTTGTATCTTCCACTTTTAATGTCAGATGTGCACTACTTTGATTTCCCAGTATTTCATCAACCGATTATTATTAAATTACTATTTATTTTATTCATGAGTTCAAAATGTTCCATCCTCATAGTGATGAAATTTTCTAGTTTCTAATACCATTGGTCACAGCACCCCCGGGATTCCCCTGGATTTACACTCTTTAGATTCTCGTTTGTTACACATTTCGTCACTCAATCGTTACTTTGTGGTTTCAGTTAGCAGTCCTACACAAAGAACTATACATGAGCCTTTCTAAGGCTTGATTCAAGTGTCAACAACTTTAGGTAGACTTGCACACAAACAGTTTCCAAGATCTCGGTTCGTAACTAATGATCAAGATGATCAGCTGAAAGTCACAATATATGCAAGAGCAAAGGTGTATTGTTTTCGTCTATACAACAGATTAACGTTAGTTCAGAACTAACATGTTTGTATTAACCAGATTATTTATATCCGTAATTCCATCTTCATTGTCTTACATGGCTATATAATGATGTTTAGAATAATTTTATTGTTGATACATAATTTGTTCTTACGAATTCCACGCTACTGTTCCTGCCAGGATTTCGGTTCTTGGAGCTTCTATATTGCGGATTTTTTCAAATTTTGATGCTTAGTAATCTTTATTCTACCTCTACTTTCTAACTATTGTACACTATATCTTCTCATGAATTCTTAGGATACTTTTCAGATGTAATGTCAATAGTAACAACAACAAAAAATCCACTTTAGAATGATAGTTCTTCTCTATTAATTATACACTCTAAAATAATAATTTAACAGATATTTATTCACTGAGATTTTTTCATTCTTATTAGGGTAAATTTTCATAAACAGTGAACAAATAAGCAAAGATGGGTAGTGGCTAGCAGTAGAATCCAGGACGCCTGCTTTGTCCTATTTGTGACTCGTCAGATGGATGTACCTGCATCTCATAGTTGATGTTCACTTCGTCATCGCTTTATCCACTTAGCTACAGAGTCTTGATAGTCACTTGCTTGTGCAATAGGGTGAATTTTAAATTCACTTGGTGTTGTTTACTCGAATTTTCCCATTGATGTTTAGAAGTGAAATTGATCAGTTTCTTAGCAATATCGAGGCAATACTCACAGTATGCACATAAATCAATAAGAGACTCATTAACTGCAGTCCTAAACATCAATGTGAATGTTCAAGTAAACAATACCAAGTGAATTTAATGAACAAATAGTTTCTTTTTTATATTCAACCTCTCATTATTGTTGACATTAATAATAGCAGAAGTTATCTGAATCGATCAGTTAATACTTTGTAACAAATCTTACTGTGAAAGACGCTTCTTTTTACTGAAAACTTACATTTGTTTAAATCTCATTAATTTAACAGACTTAATTAAGTTAAATAATTTGACGAGTTAATTATCATCTATTTCTTAAATTTCGTTATTCATTAGTTCCAATATACAACTTTAATAATTTTCCTTTTACTTTAAAAAAGAAAAAAGAATAAAGGAAGAACTTTGTTAAAATCACTATATTTTCCAACCTAATTATTCTCTACATTATTGCTTAGAAAAGGATTCCGAGTACGGACAATAGAAGACATAGAGTTATGCGGATTTTTTTAAATAAAAATAGACACGGTATATATATATATATATATATATATATATATATATATATATATATATATATATATATATATATATATATATATATATATAGGTCCAAAAGTGAATCAAATAATTATTTTCAGTATAGGGTTGTGGAGATTGTTGAATTTCGATTGTTATCATGAATGGATGAATGTTAGTCCACTATTGAAAATCTGGGAGCACTGTACGGCCGTTTTGTCCTACTATGGGGCTCCTCAACAGTGCGCATTCACGATTGCGCACACGGGACTCGAACTCGGGACAGACACTTAAAATGTGGACCACTGAGCCGATCGAAATCCAACGGTGTTAATGTCTAACTTTAGCTAATCCGACCGTCCACCATCGTCTTCAGTGAGTGACGGCCTCTACAACAGACACGCTTGAACTCTACTAGCCACGGCCGTCCAGTGCTTCCAGGTTTTCAATAGTGGTCTACCATTCATCCATTCATGATATTAATTGAAATAATTATTTGCCAACAAGAAATCGTCAACATATTTCTGTATCTATAGATCTTTATAATTTTCACTGAAATTTCAAATCCAACTAAATATTTATGGCCTATTTTGCAGTAATTTACAAAATGGTGTTTTACATGAGTTAGCTGTAAAAGTCACACAAAAACAATGTCAAACTAAATATAAAGCAAATTGATGAATTACGTAACTAAAATGTAATAAAACATAGGCATTTTGTACTAGACTTTAAGTTACAATTTTTATAGGAGCAAGTATTAGTCATTCGTTTACATAAACGGATGATGATTATGTTCTTTTGCATAGCTTATAAGCAACTTTTATGTTATATTTAAGGTCATGTAAGTTTAGAGGATTTAAGGCACTGATAAATATAAATATGTCTTCCCTACGGTCCCATGTGGTATGTTTACTCATCAAATATATTTGATTAAGAGATTTGCGGTGTTTTGAAAATCATATAACACTTTTGAGATGTTTTGTCTACTTATGTGACTCCTCAGAAGTGCTTTCATATACCCCGTTCGTAGGATAAATCACAAAATCCAGGTTCCTCAGAGGATGTGATACATTCGGACAACCAAATTGAAATCAAGTGGAAAATATCCTCAACTTCAAGCCACTCACGAAACAAAAGGACAGTCATCCACTCACAGTGGTGTGGTGAAGGGCAACCGGCTCATTTTAGACATGGTTAAACTTAAATAGTCATGACTTGGATTTTAGGTGGACGAGTCAATGTGATCAATGTTAGACCACCATTAGGATACTAGAAGCACTGGACAGGTGTTTCGTCCGAGTATGGTACTTCAACTGAAGATAAACGAAGCTGGTCACGAAACATTATGGGTTAGTTGAAGTGAGACATTAATGCAGTTAGATACTTACTCAGTGGTTTAAAAGTTAAGCGTTTACGCTAGACCGATGACTTTGGACTAGAATCCTGCATACAGGATCGTGTATGTGCACTGTTGAGGAGTCCCGTGCTAGGACAAAATGGACGTCTAATGCTTCTAATTTTCTACTTGTGATCTGACATTGATCTTTTCACTACTTCAATGAAATTCACCTATCTCCACAACCCCTTAATAAATACACTTAACAGTTTTAAGAAACAATGCTTCACAATGTTTATATCAACAAATGAGTTTACTTTTTTATGATTAAGATAATAAAAATGCATAAAATTAGATTTTCAATAAAAGTAAACTAGGATCATCAGTTATACACAAAATGAATTCATATTTTATACCTCTTATTCCTGTTTCGTTCAATATAATTATTGGACAGTACAGTAACGAGGATAAAGAGATAATTATTAATTTAAAGGTAAACTTTAAGAAAAAAAACAAATTAAATATTCATAAACACCACAAATATAGATAACATAAATTATTATTATTACCTTCATGTCTTTAAAAGTTTGTCACACCATTTCTATGAATTTTTTCTATCAGAATCAGTATGTTGAATAGATCATTAATCAAACCAATTGGCTATAGATAAACATAGATAAGGAAGGTAATTGATTGAAATACTAACTAGAAAAACATGTTAACCATCTACATACGTATTGAATTGTTATGATTATTAGGTGCATATATATACTGAACCGTTTCTAAGTTTACAACAACTGATAAGATCATTATTTATAATTAAACAAATTTATTCACAAAAATTTAAATTTTTCTAAAACTTAACCACATGATAAGCTTACATACAATTTTAGATGGATTTAAAAAACAGGATGAACCTAACAGTAATCTTTATAGAATGCAGTTAACTGAGAAATACAAGTTTGTACAAGTTTTAAATATCCCAAGTTAGTTCAATCATAAATTTAGTTTTAACTATTCATTGTTAATATTAACCAGATTACTTATAGTGTAAATATTCATATCGCTTGAGGAACTCCATTAGAATCAAGTTTCATGAGGTGGCATCATTTTTAAGAGCCGTAACACAGTGAAATAAAATACATCATTGGAAGTAGCCTCGAAGTCAGTTATATGTTAATTTGCTTTTAGATTCTAATATATGTGTTCGAAAGTAATATATTCATTTTTATCACATGATCTGTCTCCAAAATAAGGTGGAGCGAGTGAAGTCGGCTTTTCAGAGTTTTCAAGAAAATTGACTGGAATCATGTTTAAAAATTAGGACCAATATAATTGACAGGATATTAGTGTTGGTACAAAAAGAATAAAAATATTAATGGTATTCGTCACAGATGGATTTCAGTTGGAGCATCAGTTTAGATCAGGTGGCAATAAAATACTGTTTTATCGTGGTATGGGACTCCAGAACAGTGCTACTCAAGACCCGACCGGGGACTTGTTCCAAGGGGATTTTCTGAAGTTCGATTTGTAAGTCATAACCTGTGGAGTTTGGATGCGTCTGGAGTGAAACAGTAGTTACTAACATAACTGAATAATCACTGTGCAATGACATTAATCGACTGAATATTAAGATGTGTACCATTGAATATCAATCTAGTGGTCTAATGGTCGAACCCTCTCCACGACGTTCCTGGGTACGACTCATGCGAGATTCCTGGGAAAACACAAGTGAACAGTCCGAGTGAACCAGCTGATAAACTTTCCCTGACAATGAACGGTACTCCAGCCGAAGTTGGTCAATGAGGCATCACTCCTTCGAATTAAATAAATATCCACAGGACCAAGAAGAAGAAATGTTTTATTGAGAACTGGCATAAAAACAAATAATGCCTATGAACACCATAACTTAAATTCATTTATTTATGTGGGCCTAGAAGATAGGGAAAACAATTTGTCTTTTACTTACTAAAAAAGATAATGATTCATATACAATGTAACAAAGGGCTAAAATTACTAAAACATAACAGAGACTAATGGTAATATTATTAATATAGATAAAAGTAATGTTTACGATTATATTGTATGACCGTAAAGTGAGTCATTATAAATACAACTATGTAACCATGAACGTCATTAGAAAGAAAGTAGGAAAACATAAATGAATTGTATACAAGACTGGTAGAGAAGTCTTGTAAATGAGCTCAATAGTAAACATTATATGCTGATGTTTTTGCTCATACTTAGTAAATGAATATGAAAAAAACCCTCAAATTCTGAGCTTTCAAAGATTTTATGCTCTAGGTTCACTGGATGATACAGCTATGAACTTTTAATAAATTAATTTTCCCATCTAACTAGCCATCTTGAACAATATTTGATAAAGAGGTAGTGGGTTAATATGGTCTTTCTACTCTATTGGCCTTCTACAAATAAGCAGTTAACATTCTATTTGCACACAGAAGTGGCTAAATATAGGAGCCAATCGTTTACTTTTATCAGTACTGTTCAACATGTCAGTAATTGTCCTTTCTCCAGCCACTAGCACTTTAACATCCATACTTTGAAGGCTACAAGTGAATATAGGGGTTTCTTTTTTCAAATATTGGACGGCTTTTTGGAGCTAATTTGATAATTGCGATTTTCTGTGTAACTTTTTACGCAACTTTTCAAGTGTTCTTGTTATCATATTCCAAAGTATGATGGGTAAGAAACCTGACTGGTTTGGGATACTTCATGGAAATGTTTAACTAAATTCGTCTATTTTCTGCAATTCTATATCTAAAGAAACCATTTATAAAATAGCCTAAATCTGATGACTAATGAAAGTATTTTACTGTTATTTTGAATTATCTGCAATCCATACTCTGATTAATATATATATATATATATATTGAATCGAATATGAACAAAAGCAATTAATTCCTGTCTGCAAAATAGGTTACCATCGTAAAACTGACATTGAAAAGAGATTGAATAATCCAAAATGATTCATTACACAGTATTTCAGTGGTCGATGAGGTAGTATCGTTATTAAATTGGGAATCTCAACGATCAGAATAGCATTTAGTTGAGGTCTATCTGTTATAAACAGGACACAAAGTGGATATAATTCACATATTTAATCAATAAATAGTGTGATTCCTCTTAACTGAAAGTATCGGAGGCGAGGCAGTTTGATAACTTTGAAGTCAACTTCGTTTACATTACAAATTGTTATTTTAAACTCATTTCTTTTTACGTCAATCCATTGACCAGTATATTAAGGAGAAAAAGTTAAATCTTGCGCTTGTTCATAATTATTCATACCATCAAATGAATTCAAACTCATCTGAGGGACTACTGAATTTCTATCCAGCAAATATGGTCTATCGTGTGAGTGACCAGAAGTAGTCATAAAAGTTTAATAATGAATGACAAAATTTCTAATCTTCAAAGAATAATGAAATGACAGTTTGACAACATTTTTTCCACCTAAATGCTTATAATAATCATTCATAATATTGAGGTTTCCAATGCTTGGATTTTGTGAAAAATATTTCAGTAATAGTTACATTTGTTTTACATTCCAATCACTAGAATTTCTTTTCGACGAAATCATTTACTCAAGCTGTACATTCGTATTTTCAGTTGTATGGTAAATATATGTCCCTGAGTGAACATCAACTATGAGATGCAGGTACATCCAGCTGACGAGTCACAAATAAGACGAAACGTGCGACCTGGATTTCACTGTCAGCCACTATCCATCTTTGCTTAATATATGTCCATGTATTCGTTTTCCTTCATATCTGTCAAGTGGACAATCATCTTCCATGATTCTGGCCTGTAAATTATTTTCATCCTTATATTCTTTTGTTACTCCTTGATTATTGCGTAGCCTCATTTGATAAGAAGAATTTCGAATCACTTTATAATGCAATCATTTCTATCCTTCTATAGATATATATTTACCATACAACAATTTACTTAAAACACATTAGTTTATTATTACTTACTTACTTATTCAGAATCTAATGGGTTACTTAATTAATGTTGATTCATTGGAGGCAGTTGACAGGAAACTCTGAGCCTTGATTTCAACACAGTGTACCTGTGATCTTGATGCTTCCTGTAAGATTTTGACTTACATCACTCAACATTACTGTTTTAGTTACGGCTGGTGACATCTCAAACCTTGATACTTTGTGACGTTGCTCGAAATCTTTCACGAACCATTGAGAGACCAACATCAAGTGTCATAAAACATGAGACTAGCGTTCTCTACTGAATGGCTCCGATTATCGAATACCAAGATATAATGCACATGATGTCGAGTCACTTAGACTAGTGACACATCGCGATTCGCTGGGATAAATTGGATTCGAACTAAGAAATACACAAAGTTTACATTGGTTACTGCGTATTATTGCACATTACGTAATGTTTTATCAAACATCCGACATAACTACTGACTATATGACTGAATCGATTACTGTCGATCGAAAATATGTATGTTATATTCTAACGAATAATGAATGAGTGGTAACCGCTAGGAATTATTTGTGGACTATTATTACACACATTCTTAGACTATATATATATATACCTATTCTTTTCATTTGACCTATTGGCTATTGCGATTTACCATTCTTAACTTATTCCCGATTTATTAGCTAAAGTCTCCTATACTCACAGCCACGTTTGGCTTGACCTTGTATAATTGTTATTTTCTATGTTACCGTGCGATGCGGTCTGGTCTACTTATATATAAACCAAGTGTGTCTGAAATGTACTATTCATACAGTGGAGGCTGAAATTGTATTCTGGACTCAACGGGTAGGGGTAGGCGAGAAGGACCATTAAGGACTCATAGTTGACTCCAGGCTGTTCATGCTGCGTAACGAGTCATTGGTTGCACATAGGGCGAAAGCCGTATAAGTTGGTGTTCTGACTGACGATCTTGTTTCACGATATTTGGCGTAACTTAGGAAGTAATAGTATCCCAATCTTAAATTTAGAGATTTCGTTAAATCTACGACCCCATCCGAGTAATCATTGTTTTGTTAATTTCAGCATCTACAAACGCTCTTTAGCATTGTCGCGCGTGACCGTGTAAAAGAGCACCTAAATCAGTTAAAAGAAATATACTCGTTTTTTTGTTTAATACAGCCCTCGATGAACGAAGTTCAACCTTCATAGTCAAAAAGAGCACCAGCGAAGTTTTCATGGAATGTACTTCTCTGTTTAAAACGTACAGTAGACATGTGATCGTACTACATATATATTGACAGAAACTGATTAACTACAGTTTTGAATATTACTTGCTTACGCACGCCTGTTACCCTCGTGGAGGAGCATAGACTGCCCACCAGCATTCTTCATCTAACTTTGTCATGAGCAACTCTTTCTAGGTGCTTTTAGTTGCTAATCATTATTTTCATGTCTGCTTCCAATTCTCGACGCACTGTGTTCTTTGGCTTCCCTCTTTTCCATTTCCCCTCAGGATTCCGAGTTAGCGCTTGCCTTGTGATGCAGTTTAATGATTTTCTTAATGTATGTCCTATCCACTTCGAATGTCTTTTCCTAATTTCCTCTTCAGCCAGAAGCTGGTTCGTCCTCTTCCACAGTAGGCTGTTGATGATGGTATCCGATCAACGGACACTGAGTATCTTAAGTAGACAACTGTTTATTAGTACTTGTACCACTTTGATTATGGTTGTGGTAGTTCTCGAACTTTCAACTCCGTACAGCAGAACTGTCTTGACGTTCGTATTGAAGATTCTTACTTTAATATTAGTTGATACTTGTTTTGAGTTCCATATGTTTCTCAGTTGTAGGAATGAGGTCCTTACTTTGCCAATCCTCGCATTTACGTCTGCATCAGATTCTCCTTGTTCATCGATGATGCTGACCAGGTACGTGAAACTTTCCACTTCTTCCGGAATTTCGCCATAAATTGTGATTGGGTTGGTGTTCCTCATGTCGTATTTGAGGATCCTGATTTTCCCCTCGTGAATGTTGAGGCTCACTGATACAAACGTTGCTGCTACACTAGTTATCTCGACTTGCATTTGTTGGTGTGTATGGGATAGAAGGGTCATGTCATGTGAGAAGTTGAAACCGTCTAGTTGCATCCAACCTGTCCATTGTATTCCACGCCTCCTCTCAGATGTTGAGGTCTTCATAATCCAGTCGACCACCAGAAGAAATAAAAGGGAGAGAGTAGACAGTCTTTTCTGACTCCGCTTCTCACTTAAAATGCGTCCGTCGGCTATCCTCCATGAATGACTTCGCAGTGTAGTCCGTCGTATAGATTCCGTACAATATTGACGATTTTTTCAAGTACACCATAGTGTCGGAGAAGGTTCCGTAAAGTTCTGCTATCCATACTATCAAACGCTTTCTTATATTCAATGAAGTTGATGTATAGTGACGAGTTCCATTCAATTGATTGCTCAACGATGATCCGTAGTATCTCGACTTAATCTGTTCACTATCAATGCTTACGGAATCCGACCGAAGTACAACAGCACCTCTTGAGAAGCTGATATTTTCTGTCCAGCTTGGGTCCAATGAGGTTCGCTCATTTTGAGCACCGACAAGTTGTATTTTTTCATCTCTGTAACTATTAGAATGATCCTCCTAGTCTCCCACATTGTCCGGATATTCCATCTACCTATATTAATTTTTGCTCAAGATGTCAGAAAGAGCGTCGGCCTGATGATTTTTAAAGAGCATCGGCTTTCACCATGAGGCGTCATAATTCTTCTGAATAAAGGTTCTTAAATTCGGAGATCAGAGTTTAAGTGGTTAAATTTGTTTCTTCGGGTCGGCATTTTTTTAGCAAGGTTGTTTTCTGCGGGATCGCTTTGGTGAACTCATGCCGAACCATCCTCCTTTACTCGTCTTACTAACTCCCGGAGCGTACATTTTTGGTGAACAGATGAGATGCATTCACTAAATCAAAATCATTTGAAAACCCTGTATTTCATGATACTTTCATTTATTGTGTAGTAAAATGAAATCCCTAAATTTTACACCTCAAATAAAAGGTTTTATTTGAATTTAAATTAACGAAGGTTAAAAAAGTTTTTAAGATTTACGACTGATTGTAGTAATCTGTTCTTTTGATTTCTTTATATTTTACCATCCTATAGCGTTTCTTCAGGATTGGGTTTACGAACAAATCAAAAAGCAAAAGGCAGATTTACTTAATAATGAAATATCCCCATTTGATGCAATAAAAAATGTTTCAGCTAAACACTCACATTTCGTCAAGTATCTTGCTTTAGAAGGTTCAGTCAATCAAAGGTAAGTTTTCAGATTGCTTATACCTCGTATATAGTTCGTGCACGAATACAAATTTGGAGAAACTTATATTAAAAACCTATTAAATACTGATTTCTTCGTGGTGATACCATAGGTGTTCTTAAATAGGATACTGACGAGTTCAAGACACTCAGAAATTGTGAAATTTCAAGTAGTTTTTCAAAAATTCAGTTAATAATTGACTTTTTTTTTACCACTGTTTGATGCCTAAAAGACATTAGTCAACTCGAAATAAAAACAATCCAAGTTCCTTTCATAGAATACGTTGAAAAATATATAAGCTTCATCATTTTTCACAAGCTCCATCTGAAAGAATGTTAATTGGGTTGTAATGAATGGTAGATGACATAATCAGCTAGTACATCAAGAATAGCGGTACTACAACCGACATTAATAATCCCAATGTTTACAATACAACTGATTGTTCCCTGTGATTCAAGACAGCAGCTAGTTACTGGTACAAATAATTATACCTACACAACAAACTTTCAAGCGAATTCGATTCACAATAGTTCAGTGAAGATCTAAAACATAATATTTGACTAAATTTGTTGTAAATTAATAAATTGACTAGTTACTAGAACTCATAAATGTATGTAAATTATGAACTGACTTCATAGTAACGATTCGGATCTGATGAAGATTTTAGATACTTAAAATCCTTAAAACAATTTTAATCAAATGTTAATATCCCCTTTATAAGCAGTGATTGATAGTAGCTAGCAGTGGGATCCAGGACGTGCATTTCATCCTGTTTGGGACTTGTCAGCTGGATGTACCTGCATCTCAGAGTTGATGTTTACACTTTAATCACAGAATAAAATACATTATTGATACATAGAATTTATATAAAAGTTTACAATTAGGTTATAACTAGGCATGTATTTAACTCAATGTCATAATTTTCAAATCAAAACAAGAATGACACGCAATTATGTTGGACGAAATTAAAAATCTCTAGACTTGTTTGTTTCACTTTATACTATAATGGTAATACTTGGTTACATAAATCGTTATTTAAATTGTTTCTTTCGCTCACTTCATAATTCTTATGATTCACTAACCGAGCTCTCAACGTTATTTAATAGCGACACAAACTTGGACATACCAATTCTAGTCACAAAGTTTTAATAATATATGAATTAATAAGTTAATTTTTGTTAAATACTGTCGCCATTTAGATAGATACTTGATTGATCATTTAATAACGTATTCTTAAACACAATTCGCTGACAGTCTTTCTCGATGAGAACTGTAGTCAGGTCATAACTTTAGTCTTTAACTGATTCTAACCAGTAAATTCAGAGTCCACAGGACATTGAGAACATAATCTAGCAATCTTATATCGGTTGAGAACTACTTATTTACTGAACTTTAGTTGATATTTTTTTACCAGGGCATTCCTATGAAAATTTCGACGTACTTATAGTACGAAAACAAGTATTGCGTTTATCGAATTTATAATACTCAGTACATCTTGACTTTTTGTTTTGTTGATATTTTTGTCAAGTTTAACCTACCTTCCATCAACGGTCAAAATGAGTTTGCAGTGGCCTGATCAAGAAAAATCAGATATATTTGATTCCAATGAAACAAAAAATTCAACAGTGTGTTCAAACGATTGTGTTAATCCCGAAGAAAGTGGCTACAAGAATGACAACTGTACTAATGTGATGATTCAGCCACCTAAATGTGGACAGAGAAGTTCTAGTGTTACAACACCAGATAGGTTTTCAGAAACATCTAGTGATAGAAACATAGAATCTTGTTCGACATGCGAAAAAGTTTATCCACCAACTCCTGTTGCCTCCAAATCTACCGTGCTTCTCCGTCGCCCAAGAACTCCCACTTTGGGAAGAGCTGCTTTATTTGTTCGTGCATCATATATGGGTGTGGATAAGTCAGGAACACCAACTAGTTTATCATTTTCAAAACAAAGTACAAAACGAGATACTGTGTTATCAAATGATTCTCATTTCAGTGATTTTCCGAATTTATCCAGTACACAGTCAGGTTTTATTAGTCGTAGTTCAAGTCTAAACTCTGAACTCAGGGAATTCAATCAAAATACACAGCAAAGGTAAAATTCAAATGTTTATTTAATTTTTCAAATCATTACCAACATGAGATAATAAAATGTATGTACTTTTGAAGCATTTCAAAGTACTTCTAAAGTATTTGTGTTTAAACTTTCATTCCAACTGAATCTGGTAGCTGTGTTTTGATATTTTTTCGTCTAGGAGCTCTTCTTCTAGATTTCCTTGGTGTACAAGTCCACTAGTCTACACTACACTTCCTGTTAATGAGAAACATAGGATCGATATATATATATATATTGATTATTATATATGCTTAGATATCAATTGAAAATCCTCATTTGAAATTATACGGACTCATTAATAAAATGACTAATACAAATTGATTGTAAAATATCTTAAAGTAATCAATAACTGCTTTCACGGTTACTCAAAACAAAAAAACGCTGCCAAAAATCTTATTGAAAAGGTTCTCACTATTTTACTTTGTTTGAGAGTATCCACTTGTCTTCATATTATGCCAAATTCTTGATGTAGTATTTGTTAAAATCAAGACTTAAAATTGTTCCATTATAATATACTCAATTTTTACATCATATGATATCTAACATATTTTTTTTAAAAAAGTATTATGATAAAACTAAATCGTTGTTGTATCAGTTAGTCAGTCAAAACTTATTGGATGAGACATTTGATATTGATACAGAGAAGGATGTCAAAAGGAAACCTTATGAAAGCCAAACTTCAAATATAAGTTGTCATGTATATGGAATAATATCTAATTGATCTTATTGAGTGATTTTATTGGTAATTGATAGAATGGGATAAAAATATATAATCTTGATTTTATTCAGTGTGATTTTTGTTCAATATTGCTTCGATTTTTAAATCCGTGTTATAATGAATCAGTAGAATATTCTCTTTATTTCAATGTAATTCTCCAAACGTGCTAACAATAAGCAAGTTTTTGTTTCAATTCATTTGTTGGTTATTGTTCTGTACTGTCCAGTTAATAACAGAAATGGTGCTATTGTCAGTTGAGTACACTGACTGCCAACTTAGGTTCATTACACTTAATTAAAGATTCAGATGTATTGGTGGACTGATATCTTGGAAATATTTTATAAATTAAAATTGAGAATTCTTTGATTTTCAGAGAGAAGATTTGTAGCGCAAGTGGGTGATTTTGATGGAGTTTTGTTCTCTGAGCTGGTTGGTTTGGTCGTTGAGCTTTTGATCATACTTCTGAGTGACATCATCAGCATAGAATTCAGGTAGAAGTGAAGTGATCGAATTTCTCCACATGTGGTTCACAGCTTGTCTTGTAGACCTCGATGTTAATTGGTTCTTGTTAACCTTAAACTTGTTATTCTTTACAATAATGATTAAAGCTCCACGACCAAATCATCCAGAGAACAAAACTACATGAAATTCTTTGATTAGAAGATTTATTTCAGTATATATGGTTCACTTATTAAAAGAAAATCAACTAAACTAGTTATTAGTCTAGATGCAGTAGCAACTCACAATTACATTTGTTTGAATAAGACATTCAGGTTTACATAATTATCTTAATGTCCTGAAAAACATCTGCATACTACTTGAAGATAGAAAATAATTCCAGTTAGATAAATTCCGTAAACGTAAATTTAATATACAGGTCTTAAGCTGATTGTAATGTAGTTAACAATAACAGTTTATGGAAACAATCCTCTCAAATTACACTAGTGTCCCTTAAAGCGGGTTAAGTTTATGATTTATTAGTTATTTGCAGTAAAAAATAAGGCTTGCTAAAACAATTTTTATCTGTTACATTTTTTTGTAAATTACTGGTTTGTATATAATTCGAGCTGATTGTTCTGAATATTTACTGGATTCATTTGCTTCTATCTTCTCATCGTTGTTTATGACTGCAATTGATCAGTCTCTTGTTGGTATATATGCATCCTTTGCGGATTGCCTCAATATTGCCTTAAGTCACAAACTTTATAAGCAAAGATGGACGGTGGCTTATTTACTGAATTGTTTTATGGTTGTTGACTGATAAATTTACTGACAACCTTTCTCGCATATTAGTAGTATTTATTGTATTAAATTTATTTGAAAGATTACCGGAACATATTTGAGTTTAGTAAGATTATCTTCTGATGAAAATCATATTGTCTATTTGAGACCACTATTAAGAGAGAATTAGGGGTCTTCCTGAAAATAAATTTCCTTCATCTCCACTGGGATTTTAATTGGTGTTTATCAGCAAACTCGCTTAAAGTGTAACGCATAGTTAAACTGGTGAAAATTAATTCTTTAATTTCAAGTTTATTATACAAAAAACAATAAGCAACTGCAACCAGTCATCTAATAGTCTTAACTAATTATACTTTCGGTGACATACAAAAACACATGAAAGATTTTAGTTTTAAGCCTATCCGAAAAACGGTTACCAGTGATATTAACTTCTTAAACAACTTCAATATTCACATAACTTCAAGATGTTCGAGATAAGAATTAGTAAGTTTAAATTAAATTAAAGTTGTACATCAAAGTATGTTTATGCACATGAAACTAAGTTTAGTACACTCAGTTATAAATATTTTTTGAAATTCAAGAAATGGCTCGTAATGAATCTTGTAAACGAAAACACTAACAAACTGTATTCTCGATAATGCAATGAGAAGACGAAGTTTATCAGAATTGTGTGGTATATATGCGCAATACATTCCGAACAATCTGATCACACATATACTTGTTAAGAAATTTTTAATGTAACTTAAAAGGTCGACTAGACAGTCTAAAGGTAAGCCGTATCAAATAAAACATTATAAAGTACACAAAAACCATGTGTCGAATAAGATCACAAGATAAGCAGACGTCATCCTCCTTCGCGAAACATTTGATTGAGACTGGTCATCAGGTTGACGTCAAATCAGCATTTGTAGTGTTATACAAAAGCCTTCAAGGACGTATACTAAGGTTTATTGAAGCCTTGGTTATAAGGAAACTGAAACCCACTTTATATGTTCAAAAACAATTTGCTCTTACCCACCCTTAAACTACCCTGGTAATACTGATTTATTATCCAGAGTGGTTATCACGTTGTTTCCGTGTACTTTATTCTTCTTTGTTAAGGCTTAGCATTAAACTATCTAGTCGACCTTTTAATTTTCATATAAAAATGTCTTAACAAGTATATGTGTGATCAGATTGTTCAAAATTTATTGCGCAAATATATCACATAATTCTGATAAACTTCATTATCGAAATTTACCGAAGGGACTAATTGTTTTAAACTGTATACTGTCTAGGAATTTAAGAATTATATGTGACAGGTTTTCATGTATACTACAGAACATTCTTTTGTCATCAGGCCAGAATCAATTTGATATTGATTAATATCATTAGTCTGTTTTGATATCAGTAGACTAGATTTACATATCTAGCTAAATGATGAAACAAAAGATTATTAAACATATTAATATCATTGTAATTTTTTAACAACTATACTTTTCAGGAATCTTTATTTTTGTATGGTAACAACCTAGTAGATTATAAAAGTATTTTTAAAGAATTAAATGAATACTTCCGTTATTTCTAGCAAAATAAAATAATATCATTAGGGGCTTTCGTGGATATTATAGTAATTTCAATAGTTGAGATGATGAGTCAACTGAAGCTAGATCGTCACGAAGTACTTGGGAGCACTGGACGGCCGTTTCGTCCTAGCATGGGACTCCACAGCAGTGTGCATCTACGTCCAGTGCTTCCAGGTTTTCCATGGTGGTCTAGCTTCAATTGATTCATGATCTCAACTACTGAAAATAATGAAATAAATTAATATTCAAATAATAAATTCATAGGATACAATACCATTCAGTATATATGTAACAGTACAGAACATTAATTCATCATATTCTGTAAAGTTTAATGCAACGGTTGGAAACTAAAAAAATTATTTTATTTTATTTGATATACAGTTTTAACCGATTATGTGTTAAAAATAACTCATCACAAACTAATTTACAACCATTTAATCTGAATGGACGTCAGTATGAAACGAAAATTCCAAAAGCTACATCAAGTAGATATAATTGTCATGCTTATGATACTGTTCCGTTGGATAAACTTGAATGTTTGAAATTAATTCCTTCAGTACAAATGTTGAGTAAAAGTTCTGAAGTAAATTCAGAATCAACAAATTTAGCATTTATCAAATCATCTGATAATGTTCCAACTACAATTTCTTCTTTACATGGAGATCAAAAACTACATTCACATACTAGTGAGTATAACACTGAACAAAATCAAACTGAAGTGATGGAATCTAATATTTTGCAAGATACAAGACATTCTATTGATATGTTGATTACGTCATCTTCAGAAACTGAAGTATCAGTTGTGACTCACAAAAAACCAATAAAATATGAATCTAACCGTACTGTGGAAATCTCTAATCTCCAGCCTAATCCACAATCCTTTTCAAAAAATTGTAGCAATATTTCAAATTCACGTAAATCAGTTGAAATTCCAAAAGCTTCAGTGCAACCTATAAGACAGAAACCTGTCAAGGTAAGAAAGCAAAAATTACAATATCACTTTACTACTTATATGAGTACAACATTTCGAAGAATAGGAATTGGAATGGTAATTTTGCAAATATTCGGAAAACCAAACAGGTCCGTTTTTTATTATTAGTTGCCAAGTATTCAATTATGAACAAATAAAAGATACTCAGCTTTTAATTAGTGGATAAAAACATTTGATCTCTGGTTTCGGTGATGACCTCAATAGAAACCACAATATTTGAAAGTCATGACAGCGCTGTAGTCTATGATCGTTATAATAAAAACTGGAGGAAATTAATAGATTATAATAGTGAATAACTGTAGAATCAAAGATTTTTATTCGTTTCAAACTTACTGAGGTTTTATAAATAACCCGACAACAACAAATGATCGTTAAAATCGTGGTTAAACTGGTAGATAATCAATGTAATAAAGTGATTATTACAAAATATTTCCTTAAATATTAATTATATAATTCCAATAAATGGAAATATCTTGTCTAAGGTTTGAAAACAGCAACTTCTATGAACGTACTCTACATAGAATTCAGAAAATGCAATTCATATTACTGACATATGAACTACTGGAATTTAGGATGTTCTCACTTCAGCTCAATATGAAATTATTGTACCTCTATAAAAGAGTGAATCTACCCGGAGTGGAACCATGGTTAAAAGGTGTAAACATATAAGTAATACTGGTTTTGTAACTAGAAATGTATAAAGTTGGTTTCATTTTCATCTGTCAAATGTAAACTCGTGCCTTAGTAGTGGTCCTCATCTATGGCTAGTTATCTCTACTCGTAATCTATAAACCAATTAAGAATTTTCGGTATCAGGAAATCTGTTTACATAAGACTACCATAATATTTAAACACGAGCAAAAAGTAGACATCACTAACATTTTATCTTAAGTACAGTTAATTCTCTCCTATTCATAACGATTATCTGCTATATCAGTATTCTTACTGAACATCCAAATTACATAAGATTATGCTCAAGTGTGAATTTAAGTAAATTACTCATCAAAAACTATGGAAGTATAGATAACAATTTTATTTTCAAATTATTAATTGGATTTATTAAAACATGAAATGAAATAAATTTGTTTGAAACTAAATTATGATCAGAATGGGGTTTATAGAGATTGCAGTAGTTTCAATAGTTGAAGTCATAAGTAGATGTAAACTAGACCATGGTGGGAAACCTAGAATTACTAGACGGCCGTTTCGTCTTATTGTGGGACTCCTCAGCAGTGCGTATCCACGATCCTGCACGCGAGATTCGAACCCAAGACTTTCGGCCTCATGAGCAAACGCTTAAACTCTAGACCACTGAGCTGGCCGGCGTCCAACGGTGTTAATGTCTAACTTCGATACATCCATGAATAGCTGCGTAACCATTCATCCATTGTCTGAGGTGGATACCTGTCTCTGGAACTAAATTGTCGTATTAACTCTTCTAAGTTAATCAATGTCATGAAATCACCTGTTCAAATAATTAAACGCTTTAAGAATTATTTGATCGATTATTTTTCCTAATGGGTACTTTCATGAATATCATTTCCCTCGATCGTTTACCTATGAACTAATTAGAGAAATGTACAGTTACTTAGTTTAATTTGAGTTATTATTAAGTTTAGTTCTTTAGTAGCTGAAGTAAACTTGATCAGCTTTCACTTCAAGAGGTCAACTACTATAATCAAAAGTATTCATTTATTAAGCCACTAAAACTTTATTCAAGTATTATTTTCTGTTTTAAAATATTTGACTATGTTTCTGTATTTCCAGACTATTATTGGAGCAGAATTACCAACTTCACCAAGATCTCGTAGTTCACAAAAATCAAGTCATCCATTTTATTCAAAATCAAATAAAAATTTAACAAAAAAATTCAGTGAATCAATTAGTAACACTGAAACCAGTACTGAAATACCGTTTCCCAAACATAACTTAGAATATACTAAACAATTTCAAAATGAAACATTGATCGATCATTCAGTTAACATAGGATCATTTGTGTAAGTTTCAAATAACCATGTTACTTTTTAATATAGATATAACTATAGTAATGTGATAATGCTAAAAGAGATGTTAAAAATATGGGAATTGTATTCATCTTTTGAGTGACCTAACACATTTCACATTCCATGCTTCCTCACTATCCATCACTCGAAAAAAACTTATTAAGATTTCAAAATCTATAAAATGATAGACAGGTAGATAGTGACAATTTTGAGGATTTCTATTTTCATTTGTTGTATAATTGATTTATTTATTTCCTTACAAGGTGATTAGTGCTTGCTAATTACATGTGAATTTTAGACAAATCAAGAAACATACGGTTGATGACTGATGATCAACAAATTGAAAAACAACCATATTCACTTAAGCAGAAATTAAGTTAATTGCTTCCGAAAATCTGTCATAATGTTGTACAACGACGTTGGTCAGTTTTTCGCTCTATGCTTTATTAAAAGTGAAAATCACAATTAAACCCTAGTAAGTTGATTTTAAGAACTTTCTACCGACTGTTCAAATTGTCTAACATTAAATTACATGCATTAGGATATTAAATCCTAGACCATATCGGCAACCAAGTAAACCTGATTACCATAAGTATATCCATATGGTAGACTAGACTATATGATATGAACCATTCTTCATTAAACGATTACTTTTTCCAATAAAATAACTGTGATTTGATATTTTCCAGATTACAGATGGTAATTTATCTTCTTAAAGTGTAATCCACAATAAACTTGTTGTAATTATCCAGCTCTTACTTGAGAAGGTTCCATTTAACTGCTTTCAGTTAGCTTCACTGTTGAAAAAGAATGTAGTTCATAACTGTGTCATCATAAACAGTTAAAATTCAGGTTTTTTTTAATCTCAGTCATAACGACATTCTATCTGGAATTATTCATAATTATTAGTGTTTTTTATGCACTATAAAAACAGTCTAGTTTGTAAAACTATTCTGACAGTTAATTAATATTCACTGAGGACATAAACAACTTTTAGTATGGTAACAGAAGTGACTCATTATTTTCAATGATTAGTTTAATTTTCTGTAAAAGAATTTAATTTTTGTAGCGTGTGTATATATTTACACAGAATAATAATCTCTATGTCAACATGTACTACTCAAAGTATTTAGGTTTAAATTAACCAGAATAGGCTAAAAAACGTAAATTTCGGAGAATTTGTATATGAGAGGTTTAATAATTGCGAATTAGTTTATTCCTTTGGAATAACTGATATGCAGAGAAGCAAAGTTAAAATTTAGAGATGGATGGTAGAAATTGTCATCTGGATATACCTGAGACCCAGAGTTGATGTCCACTTAGAGACCCAAACCCATTACCGTTTAATTCAAACGCTAGTCCCGAAGTAGACATCAACTCTGGGATGCAGATATATCCAGCTGACGAGTCCCAAATACGACGAAACGCGCGTCCACTGCTAGCTACCATCCATTTCTGCTCAGAATTCTTGAGACTTAAGTTAATATCGAGGAAGAATGCACATATGCTAATAAGAGACTGATCAACTGCAGTCCAAAACATCAATGGGAAGATTCAGACAACCAATACAAAAATGAATTAAAATTTACTTACGATAAAGATTTTAAATTGTTGTTTGATTATTGTGTTCAATTCTAATTATTTGTCTGACAGAAAACATAGATCATTGGGTCTAGGCTTAGAGACTGTCGCATTCTGGTACAGGAATTAGGTTGTTAGACCTTATCAACAGTAAAACACCATCGACTTTATATAACGATCTACACGTAATTTGTTGTTCAGTCATCTGTCTTATTTTTGTATGAAGCTTTTTGATAACATATTTGCCTACTGTTCATTGTATAAGTAGTTCGGATTATAAAAATAATGTTTTCACACAACCTGAGTTGAGTTATGAGGATATGGTTAACTGATGGGTTTATACCGTGTGTAGATCATTTTCACTTCGTGATTCAGAGACCTACACTCAGAAATCACGTGAGGCTAACAAGATCGCTGTTAAATATTGAAAACTCTTTATTACTTTAAGAGTACCTACAGTTTTTTTGGATGATTTGTAGTAATGAACGATATCCCAAATGATTATCTTCACCTAGAAAACTAGAGACAAATTATCTTAACTAATTGAGACATTCGTTATGAAAAGTAAAGAGTAATGGTTTAGAAAGTATAGTTTCATCACCAGTGGCTATTAAAAACTAAATTTTTTATAACTCCGTCAAAATGTTCATACATAATTTACAATTATTTATTCGCTTGGACATATTACAACATTGAAATAGTGGTAATCTCATTAAGAAATTATGATACTGTTATTCATTCGCATTTATTCACATCTTTGTTTTATATTGTTTTAACTAAGTTTGTTGATAAAAATGTTATTCATTTTAGCGCTTGAACACTACCAATTATTTCACATATACGAACAAAATAACAAAAATAGTTTTTGTCAACTACTCAAAGGTTATAAATTACTAAGCTGTAACATCAGTTCTTATTGGTAAATATATGTAATGAACTAAGCAGAATATCATTGACATTTCAAATAACTGTTATCAGGTTTGAATCCATAGGCTCACATGAAGCCTATACATTTACAACAATCAACAAATTATAGTCATCAACTTTAGTCTGTAAAACTGATTAATTGAAAAACTTGACAGAATAACATGAATCCATTTATTTCGCTAATTCTCATTGCTTGTTTGTTACCTGCAACCAATGTTATTAATTGAGATAAGATGGTGATTGGTCAACAGGAAACCCTGGACCCGGGTTTCAAGCTACTTGGCACTCGTCAGCAAGGTGTACCTGTCAGTCAGTCAGTCAGTCAGTAACAAAGTAGAACTTCGTACGTACGTACATCAGTTAGAGTTGCCATACCACATTAGCACACAAACACAATTTTCGGTTCAAATCCCGTAGTGGTAGAGGTGGTAAGAGTATAAGCAGTAATCGGAAAGATTAGGGTCTGAAGACATTATTCAAGGAGTATAATACAATGAAATAAATTTGGAAAGAGGAAAAAAAGAGACATGAAGGATTCAAAAGATTAGAATTTGGGAGAACACAAAGAGTGGATGCACCTGCGCTATTGCAAACGATTTTGGGCCATGTCATTCAGGGTCTCTAACCATCGGTTGCTATCATCTCGCGGATCCCAACCAGGTAGTCTACACCTACCGACATGACAGTCCACTTGTCAGTGACTTCATGGATTTGTGTCATGTTTTGGTCTGCCCGCCTCCAGCTTTCTTCCAACCTACTCCTATACCACTGAACATCACACGTCGAGGCAGTCGGTGGTCGGACATACGTAACACATGTCCCAGCCATCTCAACTGATGAAGTTTCACTACGTCATCAATTGATTTGCCATCCTTACCTAGTACCCATTTCCTAACAACTGCATTACTTATTCAGTGGTTCCAGGATATACGAACAATCCCTCGAAGACACCTATGATCGAATACTAGTAACCTACAAATATCCTCTACTCTTTCCGGCCATGTTTCGCTGCCGTAAAGTAGGACGGAAGGAACTGCTCCGCAGTAAACACGTCCTTTGGTTGATAGACGGATATCTCGCCTACGCCATAAATGACACAAGTTGGTAAAAGCTAGTCCAGCCTTCTGTATCCGTGCTGAGATTTCATCACACACCAGACCACAAGGGCTGATGAGACGTCCAAGGTAATTGAAGCTGTCGACACGCTCAACTACTTCACTCCTTATCATTAGTTCAGGTTTCGATGCAACCCAATCCTGAAGCAACGTAATTCATTTTGAGGGAGAGAATCGCATCCCGAACATGCCTGCATTAATGCTTAGAGTGGTCAGAAGACTGCATTCTATCAGTGTCTTCACCAAATAGAACTATGTCGTCGGCATATTCTAAGTCAATAAGTGAATCTCCCGGTAAAAGTTCAACTCTTGGGAATTTAGATGAGGAAAGTGTCATCTCTAAAGGCACATCAACGACAAAGTTAAACAAGAATGGGGAGAGTGGACAGCCCTGACGATCACCACTTGAGGTAACCACTTCTGATGACAATTGGCCATAAGCTCTCATTCGACCAGCTGTGTTTGAGTAGAGAGCCTTTACATGGTTAGTGTACTTCTTTGGTACTCCTTTCAGTGACAAACACTGCCATAGGACCTCACGATCAAAAGAGCCGAATGCCGCCTTAAGGTCGAGAAATACTACCATTGTGGGGCGTCTGAATCTGTGTTTATGTTCTAGGACCTGACGTAGTGTGAATATGTGGTCTATACAACCACGTCCAGGTCGAAAACCAGCCTGGTTTTCTCTATTCTGCTCTTCACGACCTCAATTAATCTGACCGCTAGTACTGGACTACCATCCTTAAAAATCTCAGGAGTAAACCTGTCAGGGCCTGCTGCTCCCCCTTGCTTCAGATTTCCTATGGCTTTTTCAACTTCGTAAAGAGACGGAGGACCTACATTAACTTGCCATTCAGGTTGACTGGAGATCGTGGGAAACCGAAGTGTGGCTGAAGGCCAGTTGAACTGATCCCTAAAGTGTTCTGCCCATCGATCCAATCTCCTGGATTGAGAATGAATAATATGTCCATCTTTCTCTGAGATTGTTTCGCTAACGGTCGGGTTCCTAATTCCGGTTTCCTTAACGAGTCTGAACAATTGTCTGCTATTACCTATTGCCGCTGCCTTTTCCATCTCTCTTGCTTTCGCTACCCACCACTGTTCGCGATCATTGCGTAGACTTCTTGTCAGCTTGCGCTTAAGCTGACTCCGCTCTTCATTATGTTCAGAGCCAGGTGGAATGAGTTTCCGAGCATCTATCAGTGCGATAGATGCTGCTGAGATCCAGTGTTGCTCCCTAACCTTCTGGTTTACCTTACTAGCAGATATCACTGCTGTTTCCACAGCTTTTCGGATATCATTCCATGCTGCATCGGGGTGGGCATCACATACATGGCTGCCTAACTGTTTTCCTAGTTGTTCCTGAAATAT